GGGGGGGGGGGGGGGGGGGGGGGGGGGGGGGGGGGGGGGGGGGGGGGGGGGGGGGGGGGGGGGGGGGGGGGGGGGGGGGGGGGGGGGGGGGGGGGACGGCTTCTGCCACCCACATTGGGCGACAGAGAGTGGCAAGAGAAATGTGTGTGGGAGGGGTACACACGGCCATGCCAGCTACGATAATCGTCTTGACATGCTAGCCACGACAATCATCTCGTCACACAACAAAAAAAGAGCCGCTAGAAACGGACCTGCAAATGCACGACAGTGGCAGAGGTCCAATGGCAGAGGCCACGGTAGCCCAGCCCTCCACTCCGTCAGGAAACAGGTTCCAGTTCAGACCTGCGTCGTACGCGTATCGGAATGGTGCTTTTCCGTTGCATGTCACGAGTTGTGTCGATATCGGGGTGGGACATGAAACGTTTTCTACCTCTACTTTACCCAAGGCTATGATTGCTTCCCTTATCTAATGACCACCAACGCGTGTGCAAGCACGTACAAGCGTGGCGGACGACACGATATGGTCCGCCTATCATGCTCTTCATGCAGTCGGGATAAACGAAAATAGGACACATGAGTGCTTCGCGCGCCACAGAAGAACATGCAGGTGTCTAGCTTTCTCCTCGTCATGCTATCATAGCCGTATTCCTCACCTGTACAAGCTTTGCCGTAGTGCCTCGACCACGCCTGGCGAATCATCCCGACCGCATCGCCGCGCTCGATGCTCTCAAACACGCTACCCAACAGGCCACGACGCCGCCCGGCGAAGGCGGGAGTCATCAGGTCGGCCGGCTCGCTTTGGAACGGCGAGGGGAAAGGGTAGAAAACACCGTCTTCTTCACCACCCGCTGACAGACAAGGGTCATCCCGATCGACTTCAAAGCAGGTGCTTCCGCCCATGGACGCAGACGCACCGTCGGGGAGGTCAACTCGAGCCACTGCTGTCGAGCCTCCCGACCGTGCAGCATGCCCTCTGCAGCGATCACTGGGCTTGGCCGAACATGGCGGGTCCTGCGGTTCTCCCCCTTCTTGGCCATTACGAGGCTCTTTGGCGATGGGGGCAGGTTCCCCCGAGGTATCGGCCACTGGTTCTCGTGACCGGCAAACGGGGGTCCTGGGCGTGGCAGCGATTTCCCCGGGTGATGCGGGCACCAAGGGTGCAAACAGGGCGTCCCAGCAGAGCAAAGCGAACAGGCCCAAGCAAATGCTGCCCCCAGCATATCACGGAGTCCAGTGGAAACGTCGGAGGGAGGGCGGGAGTAGCGTGTTTGGTTACTGGTTATTGATGGGCGTGCTACGGAAGCACCCGTAGTCTCCTATCTAGACCACGAAAACGCTTCCACCGAAATATGCCCTATTACAAAGCGCTTTGAGGAAGACAAACATGGCGACACTACTGTCCACAGTTGTTTGCAACAAAAAACGACACAGCCCCCCCCCCGGCAACGTAGAGCTGCATGGAGATTGACATTGTCTAGGTCAGAGTGAGCTGATGCAAGGTGTGTGCGGCTCTCTCAGCTTGTTGTTACATATTTTTTTCATTTGGCTTGCCTCGAGGGTGGGTGTGGAAATGACCTGGTCCGCGGAGAAAAATAGCGATAGGGGAACGGGCTGCATACATACTATTCACGTGTTTCCAGCCCTCGTCCTGGACTTTTCATGGGATGAACTTTTGTTTTCGCGATTAACAGGGCTTTCTATTGGGTTTGCCTGTATCCCACCTGCAATCCGCGTCGTTGTCTTGATGAGAAAAGGTCAGGACGGTCAGGACGATCAGTACAGCAAACAACGAAAACAACGTGTTCGAAGGGTTGAACACTCACCTGTTCTCCGCGTGCAAGCCCTTCCAACCAGGTTCAAGCTCAGCTAGCATGGCATTCAACACCGCCTGTTCCAAGCTAGTTCCCGGAGCAATCCTCACCGACCCCCTCCCCTCACACCCACTGCGTCTCTTCCCCCCGTCGCCCCTATGCCCGCCCTCCGACCCTTCCCCCCCCTCCCCTTCCCCCGCTCCTCTCCGCTCCGGAAAACCCTCTTCAGACGCAGCAGTCGCGGGGCGGGAAGGCGGATTTCTGGTAGGCGTCATCGAGGCGGAGCCGACGGCGTCGCCCGCTCGACGCCACGAGAGGTCGAGCTGCATCACGCGCAGTCGTGCTTCCTTCAGCTTGGGCGGCGGGCGCTTGCGCCAGCGGAGCGGAGGGACGGCGAGTCGAATGGCTCGCCGGAGCAAGGGGAGCGACTCCCCAAGCGGCAGTATCGCGGCCGCTTGCTCCGCAACGGCCGCCGCCACCGCCGCCGCCGCCGGTGCGGCCGGTTCGGCTGACGTCACCCGTGGCGATTCGTTGACCAATGAACAGTCCGGGTCCTCCGCACCTTGTGCCGCTTCGACGGCGGAGGTCCTCATCGTAACCGCCGGCGAGGCGGCCGTCGATTCCGCCGGAGGCGACAGGGATGCCTCTGCTAGCGCCTTCTCGCAGGCTTGCAGCGCGGCCATCGATCGCTTCTTGTGGCCTAGATCTGTCACCAGCCTGAGCCAGTACCGAGGTCGGTGGACGCTCAGCCTCTGGGAGGACGCCTGTTTCGCAGGCGCGACAAGAGAACCGGACGTGCGGTGGCGGCCGTTTTGTAGCCAGTGCGGGATCAAGGTTGAGATATAGGGACGCTCGTGCTCCGCAGGAAACGTCGCACCGAGGGCGATCGAAAACAAGTGCGGCGGCAGGCAGAACGGACCCCAAAACTTCGGTGGCAACACGAAGCGACTTCGTACTGCCCCGGGTGCGGAGGGTGCACGAAACAACAAACACAGCAGCGTCGGTCGGGTCAGTTCGGCACGTTATTCTTGACGTCCCGCCATAGGTTGCAATTCATTTCTTCCGGTGGGCGCCAAAGTCTACCCACGGCGAGAATCTCTTTTACCCGACGAGGTCCCGCAGCCTCGGCGGCCTATTTAGCGACAAAGCTTTCAAGCACGGACACCACCCATCCTCACTCGCCTTGCCTTCCACGAAGAGCATCAACGGAAACTTCGAAGGCCATTTTACCGTACGATGAACGCCTTTAGCCGACCACACGGCAGAAGCGCACAATTTATTCCCACCACAAGACAAGCGTCACCGGTTCACCTGCAGAAGTATGTCCAGGTAGTGGAAGGCGCTGTCGTAGTCCTTGTCTCTCTCCATCAAACCAACCCCGCGCATGACAACCCGCGCCGACAGCTCGCAGATATCGCAGTGCGAAGGGGGCGTCGTCGTTGTCCTTGTCAGGGCTGCCCCCCTCCCATCGACCGAATCCGCCGATACGGTGCGGTGTCGAAGGTGATTTCGGCGGCAAAGGGGGCACCCCGATGGGAGCAGAGCCGTGCTCGCCTCATGGAGGGAGCCGTATGCTAGCCTGGGACACCAGTAGTGGTGGTGGTCGTTAGTAGCGAGGGTGGGTGCGACGAAAACAAGAACAAAAATAAAAGGAGTACGTGAAAAAATCTGCAAAACACGGGAACCCGTGGGACTTCGGAAATGCCCAAAATGTATGCCGGAAGGTGGAAACTGGCGCCAGAACAGATGGGATGATGACACACACACACACAGACTCATTCGAGCCATAGCTGTCGAGAGGCTATCCCTTCACGCCGACACAGAGACGTTTTCTCACCCGGGGTCTCCTGCACCAGCCGCCAACTCCATCGCATCCGAAAGGCTCACCAGCTTGTAGTACTCCCCGAACGCCTCTACGCAGCTCAAAACCCGTGGCGCGGGTCGCTTCCTCCCTTTCCCAGCAACGCCTCTCGAAGACCCCTTCGCTTCGTGTCCGCCAGCACCGGTCGCGGCGGCACCGGCGAACACCACGCCCTCATCGAGACCCTCGCGAAGGACGGCCAGCACGTCCTGCGGTCCATGCCGAGCCGCGGCGAAAAAGGCCACGTGGACTCTGTGGATCGCCTCTTGCGCTTCGTCGGTCAGACGGAGAACAACGACAGCAGTAGCCCCGCCCTCTCCGTCGCCCTCTGTCCGCCCCGCCGCGAGGTCCTCCGCCGCCTGCCGGGCTGCGCGGGACAACCTCCTCCTTCTCTTGGCGGCGTCTTCCGGGCGAGTGAGCCACTCCTCCAGTTCTCGGCACGTCTCGTCCTTCCCCTCCACGGCAGCACCTCGACCTCTCCCCTTCCCGCCCAAGCCGCAGCCGCTGCTGCTGCTGCTGCTGCCAGGCTCGCGTCTCAAGGACGAAGAAGTATCCCCCAGTATCAGCGCCTTCGCAAGCGACCGCGTCTCGCTCGCCGTCAGCGCCTCCCGCAGAGCCAGCGCCGCCAGCAGGTCGGGGTCCTCGAGGTCGTCACGCTGCCCAGACTTCCCCTGGCGACCACCGCTTCCTTTCGCACCCGCGTCCCGCAGAGAGACAGCCAACCCGGCACTCAGCAGCGCTAGCGCTCCCGCGTGCTCGGCGCCCGAGCGCCGGCGGCGTTCGCAGTCGTCGGCTTCGTCGACGGCGGCGGCGAGGCCGGGGTCATCCGGGTGCAGGCGAGACCCCGGTCCTTGCCGCCGGGGGGGGGGGTCCCGTGATATGCGCCGCCAGGTCGATGCCCCGTGGTAGAGGCGCAGCGCCAGGGCGAGGGGCTCGTTGGCCTCCGCCTCCGCCTCCTCCGCGAGCGCTTCCGGAGCCAGAGACATGAGAGTCATGAAGGCGGTGGCAGGGCCGCCATCTTGTCGCTCGAGAGCGATCTCGAGGAGGGTTTTGTCGGCGGGATCCGCCGCCGCCCTCGGGGAGCGGAGAGCTCCCGCCGCCGCGGGGGCCGGGGCGGCGACGGCGACCGCCGAAGCGGCGTGCGAGGAAGACAGCCACGCCACCATAGCCTTGAAGTTCCTCGACTGTAACGCTCTGCTTCTTCCGCCCGCGGCGGCGGTTGCGTGAACAGAGTCGGGCACTTCGTTGCCGTCAGTTTCGTCGCTTCTGTCGCGAGGCGGCACGCTCGACGATGCACGGCACGCCCGCGCTCCGCCGAACACCTGGCTCTGGAAAGCCCAGCCCCACCCGCTGGAACTGCCCATGCCTGAGACCCCAGCAATTCGGTAGAGCCGCGTAGCGAGGGGCGAACAGCAGACGTATCGACGGGGAGTGGGAGCGATTCAGCTCGCCGTCAGTGCTTGCCCAAGGAGTCTACTGTAGGAACATGAAACGGAACTCACGCTGGCCCGCTGCCCTGTAACTCAATCATTGTTGATTTGCCACCTGCACACTTGGATGCAAAATAAAGGAGAAGAACATCCAACCGCTACAAGTCCACGATTCTCGAAGAAGCGGGAATGCGCTGATGATGTTGGGTCGAACGATTCGCCGGCCAGAGGGCATACTCAAAATAAGCGATCGGCATGTTTTCCCGATAAATCACTCCTGTTGTACAACTGGATTCCCACCGTTCGCGTGCATCCCGCATCCAACACGGGGCACCACCGGAAGAAACAGCAAGCTCGCATCGAACATGTCCAACATACCCCGCAGTACAGTCAGCATGAGGTACCTATCCCATACTGAAAGATGGGATAGCCACACGGAAATAACCCCGGTAATCCCTCAACCATTTGCATTCACCATTCCACATGTTCCGCAGTAGAGTAAGCATGCGGTACGGGTTCCCACTTCCCACGACGACAGGTCCCGCGCCCACTCACCTGGGGTTCTCAAGTCTTGGAAAACCGGGGTATAACTCAGGGAGTATGATCGCCTGGCCCACGCCGTGGGGTCAACCCCGCCCAAGCCTCCGCCCTGCAGACGTCGCAGCATCTCCCACCGCCTCTGCTTGCGGGGTTCGACAAGCTTTCCCCACGTCGGCGCTGGCGGAGGCGACACGGTTTTGGCCGGTTTGGTTACCCGTAGTACCAGCTGAGGAACTGCCATAGGGGACGGAAACACCAACATTGGGGGGGCAAAAAAACAGAATTGGACCCCCGTTTTGTTCCGCGATCGAAAGTACGGGAAACACAAAATGTTGTAGGACTAAGACTCCGAAGCATGGTGGCGCAGCGATCGGAGGCTCGGCCGGCCCTTGTCGGAGGCAAGGAGTGCGCAAACGTTGTCGACAGCAGGTCGCGGTTTCGTCGTGCCTATAACATTTGCGCATGACTTCCACGATCGGGAGCCTTGGAGGCACTACTCGGGACATACGATGACGACCGGCCGTCAACTCTGATCATGTCAGCCCTTTTCTTTTTGCCCGAAGTCGAGGAAGACTTTGTCACCAAGGTACACGCCAACCGCCGACCTCACCGTTCCCCCACAAAACAAAGCGCCTCCCCATCAAAACACAGTCAAGATACACAAGATGGCCACCTAACTGCTGTCTTGTCGAGCCCGTAACCCAGGGGGAACTATCTCTGAGTGCTGCTTGGGGAACCGTAGAAATATGAGTTGGTCACCGTACAACAATATAATTTCATTGCGGATCTACCATGGACTCTTCTGTTCTTTGTGAGAAAAAGAAAAGAAGCTACAAACGTGCTGCTTTTCCGGTACCTTCCCCTGCTGCACCAGCGGCAGGTGTCGAAGTCGCCCGTTTCTTCCTAGGCGTTCCATTCTCCGGCGACCCAGCTCCAAAATAATGAAATATTTTTGAGTTTCCGCTACCGCTGCTGTCCCCGTCCTTGCGGGCGGAGGATCTTTTCCTTGGGGTTGCTGTTGGCGTCCTCTTGAGTCTCTTTGTTTTCGTCTTCGGCGAAGTATCCTCGCCCCCCGACATAAGTCCCTGTGCACCGGGAGAGAAAAAAAAAGGCGACAGCGAGGAGGGATCGAGTGAGAGGAGGAGGGGGGAGGGGTTGCACTCGAAGCTATGCACGACCAAGGCCAACAGCAGTCAACGCGGTGTGGGCAAACGAGACGGAAGGCATGACATCGAAGAGGTCGAGCCCTCCCTAGCGCTAACGTTCCGGCGATTAACGCCCACCCACCCCGTAACATGTACTATATAGATCCACCCCGTGACATGCGCTATATAGATAGATGGGCGGCGGAGTGGATGGGGGGGATGGGCAGGCCTAGATGTCACGTGAGATATGGGCAATTTCGACATCCCAGAGTGGGCGGATTGCGTTGGGCGCCATGGTCCGCGAACGAAGGGTCAGTGTTCGGGGGCTATCCAACGTGTTGCGTGCAAGGGTCACAAGCTTTTACGCCTCAGCATGTGGAAGAAGGGAGTAAAGAACTGCCAGGATATCTGATCCACGGGGCCAGTTGACTGCTGCGACGGGAGATATTTACCTTGCAAGTGTACTGCTACGCTTGCTACGTTTATTGGCTGGGGGGTGCAATGAACGACAAGAAACGATATGATGTAGAGTTGGAGCAACGTTCCGACACTACAATGGCGGGTGCTCGGGTTTGCCATTAGTACGCTCTCTGATGTGGCGCAGAAGCGGGATGGACTAAAAACGGTTCCGGGTCTGTACCAGCGTTTGCTACGATAGTCCAGTTTCCACCGACGACCAAAGGTCGACAGCAGCAGCGGTAGACTACCTAGGTTAGGTTAGGCCGAAAACCTGAATGAGTTGACACGCTACCTTGTGCGTACGGGGACAACCTCTGCTGCAACTGCTGCGTAACTTGAGAGAGAGGGACACGCGCTCACTACAGCACTTAATGAAGTAAGTGAGGTTACAGTCAAGATTCTATTGGCGACAGGTTCCAGCAACATACAGAAATCTCGAGAAGCTTGTGGCTACCCACAAGCAAGCGTGCATACGCTCGTGTCGCAAGCAACCTCCTGCCGCAGCCTCTGCTAGTGGGTGCCATTGTATGGATTCATTGCTATCTTATCCTGGATGGTTATCCGTGGATAAGATGGATTCGCGGTGTTGCATTTGAGAATAAAAAGCTGAGGCGAGCGGGAAAGAGTCCTACTGTACATGGACTACACATCTGTCTTTGATCGTTCTTCTGTTGACTTGCGGACCTACGGGTCCACTTTATTTTCGGATACCTTTGTTGGGCAAGTTAGCCTGTGGCCACGGGAGTCGACCGCGTAAAGTGTTAGCTTGTACAGGGCAGAAGAAGGTACTGGGTAGAGGGAACTGAACGGTTGTTAATGCGAAGGCAACAACAACAAAAACGACATACCCAGCGAAGTGGTATCCATCTAGACTAATGTTGGGACAAGATCATGAACAGACTGCGCAAATTTGAAAATGTTTCGCGCAATTTCTTTGTGAGCCACCTTCGAAGGGAAGTCTTACCTTTTCTCTTCTGGTCGGGGTTTGACTGCATGCCGTAGATAACGACATCAACCTCACCTCGTCTGGTGTAGCAGGTGCCATCTCCACGCGCTTGCGCGTTGTCAGAGGTCACATACGCCACGCCCCCCTCTGACAGCACAACAGCAGTGCGCTGAAGAGGGCCGTTCCAGACGTCTGTCCCACTAAGGCGGTAGCATGTGATCCCTCTTAGTTCTGGCCAGGTGATGGAGAGGTGGCGTTCAAAACCTCAGCAAATGAGTATACACCAAGCACCTAAGGCGCCTAGATAAGCCCCAGAGATGGATGCGCCAGACAAGAGAAGAGAGTGTGGCAACAAACCGTGGCTTACCGTTCCTGGCTAACGAGGGCACGGGGATTGCAATCCCATACACCTATGCTAATAAATCACGATAAGGCGAAATCCTGGGGGAGGGGGGGGGGGGGGGNGGGGGGGGGGGGGGGGGGGGGGGGGGGGGGGGGGGGGGGGGGGGGGGGGGGGGGGGGGGGGGGGGGGGGGGGGGGGGGTCGTGGTGTAGTTTTGAGGGTATGTGTCGCCTCACGGGGCCCCTCCGATGCCGTAATTTGACCGCCTTTTGTACCTTCACAGCGGTGGAAGGCCACGACGAAAGAGGCACACACATCGCTGGGTGTTTGAACACGGACGTTGTCGTCAAGTGGTCAGCGTTTTATGGCGACGGCGGCGTCCAATCGCCAACNGTCTGCAGGGAACATACTGCTCGTCGCAGTGGGTCGAGCCCCGCGCAACTCAGCGGAGCTATTGACGCCAACGCAGCAGGGTGATGGCAATTGGTGCTGCTGGTGTAGGTTCAAGTTCGCGCATGGCGTCGCGGATTAGGAAGTTCACTCTCAGGAAACAAGCAAAATGCACTCAACACTTCTTACTTGCTGCCTGTCGAGCTTCC